AACATAATCAAAATAATATGATGATTGTTGAATTAAGAGACGGATAAAGCGTCTCTTGTAGAGGAAGACGAGGACAAGGTCCTACACATATATGATAATACCTTCATATAAAGGATGGTATAATATCCTGAGATGGTGTAAGGATTACATGAAACATAAATACACAAACAAAACACAAGACACATTCATTTATCTTACACGTAACACATATACCTCTCATCCCAACCTCCATATTCTCCATATTTAAGAAGCTGAAAACAGCATTTTTGTATTAATAATTACTGTAACAGTGAATCAGTCTAATCAGTAAACAGTAGCCATTTCTGCTAATGTGATTGGAAAAAAGGATTCTGTAAGTCAAACTTTCTCAGAATAATGACTTATTATCACAAAGTCAAGTCATTATTTGAGAAACTTTCTCATTGTAATGACTTACAGAATCATTTTTCTCGTCACATTGGTGGAAATGGGCATCCATACGTTCCTCTTATTTATATTCCCTCCCAGAATCTTTAGAAATTCAGTTCGAGCCTATATAATAATAATAATAATAATAATATATATATAAATATGTATTTGCTGTGGAAAGCCTTGACATTTGACCCATGCTTTCTGTGTGACAGTTTTTATAATGTGCGGTGTTTATTATATTCATCCCATTAGTCTAAAGTATAAAACCCACAGACCTAATGCATTCCCGCAGAAGAGCACAAATGATAGTGAGTCAGTGTTCGTTCAGATTTGCGTCACTGTAAATATTGATGATTATGTTGCATTGTTTATTATGTCCTCAAGACAAATAACCATCTCCGAATAAATAACTATAAATACACAAAGAGCCAGTAAAGTGATTGCATTGAGAACAGAGACAGAAACAGGCTGCTATTGTTACCATAATGGCGAGATTGTAGGCTTCACCCACTAAGCTAAAGCTTTTCTCTTTGGCATCCTGACAGTCATTAGCTAAAGCCTGTTGGTGGCTGGCATCAGCACCGGCTCATTTACATACAACAAAGCAAGAGACATCCATTAACCTGAAAACACTACATCAACTCTCCGTATGCTAATAATGTGTGCACATTAAAAGTGCATTGTGAGTGCATTAAAATCACATTAAGGAATAAGATCTAATTGTTTTCAACCTACCATGAGGTACAGCAAATCTTTACCATTAGGCTTCATGTTTCCTCCTACAGAATATGATATAATGGTTGTCGAATGGTGATTTAATGAAGAACAGTGGCGTCCTTCTGCATGCTTAAGCAGTATTACATGATAATTATGTTATTGCGGGACAGACACATGTTAGTTATCACTGTGGCTACGTTTATATGTGTGAAAAAGACACTATTCCTACAAAGCTGTTTACAATTGAAAATAAATATTCCACTTATGTTCTCGTTTACATGCAGCTGTGCATACTCTAATTAATCAAACTGTTAAAGACACACTGCACGCCTGGAATTAAAGTCCTTTTTAGGGCAAGGCCACTTTGGTCTTTGATAAATACAAATTTATTAGAGCATTGCAGCAAAAATGTAGGACACCAAAACTACTGAACAGTATATAAAGTATATAAAAAGTTAGCTCGACCTTAATACAGCAGCAAAGTGCAACATTAATGAAGTAGTATTAATATTCCAAAAACATCACATATAATAGTGATAGTCAAGTAAATGTTGCTATAATTCTTACATACTTTTACCTTGAAAAGGAAAACTTATTATGTACTTTTTATCCAGTTCTCTGTCTGTACTGTGTATCATTCTCACTTAATAGGCCTTAAGATTCAGCGTTTACTTGTCCCTGACACTTGCCCTATTGTCCTATTAGTTCTTTGTTGTTTTAACTACACACTTTTCTAATGCAGGACAAGGCTGTCTTTAAAGTTTAGAATATTAATCGTAACTTTAAACGTAACACGTTTTCTTACACTCCTTAAAATCAAGGAGGCCTTGCGACTCCCTCGCGAAGCTTTTCCGACCCCCAGGTTGGGAACAACTGGATTAAAGTAACCAAACTACCCATCTGTTAACGTTACAGCAAATCTCGTGCTGCTGTTGACGTGCAGACAGACGACAGACACTGGGAAACATGATTTACGTAGTTTAATGAGGAAATCTGCCCCTTTCATTATAGGACACAATGGCCAGTTCCAAACAGGGAAATGCCAAACTGGCAGTGTGGGTAGTTCATTTTAGAAAAGGCATCCCTAGCACTGGCCGTTTGGCCGTGGTATATTTTCCTCCTTTTCCTTCGTCCTTTAAGCTGCAGTCATGTTGTCCCTTGTAGTAAAAGTAGAACAGCTGCTGTGCAAATGCAGCCTCCCTTTCATTTGTTCACAAACTTTCTTGAAACATTCAAACATATATTTCTTCCTTATTTTAATTATTTCATAATGTTTAAAAGTAGGTATGTTTTTCCTTCCGACCAGAAATGTGGGCTTTTCAGTTGTGCATGTGTCTCTGCTTCAGCCTTTCAAACTGTTGGTTTGGTTTGTTAACAACGTACAGAGCTCACCGTAAACAGGCAAACTGCGGTAAAAACCCCAAATGAGATGCATATTCCAAATAGTTCTTCTAAAACCTGAATAATATCGGCATATCCCACATGTCTTAAACAGAAAAGGCTCGATTCGGAATAATTAGGAATATCCAGATGTGGCATATTGTCATATTTGGAATGATAGTGGAAGATGAGTGTGTGTGTAAACGTTGTCAGTGATCGATCAGAACTGACGTACTGTATCTATACTGTTGAGTCTAGATACATGAATACATTACTGAGTAATAAACATATTCAGATTCAGTGTGTTTTATATACGCGACTGTCTTACGCCATCTTTTCTCGTTTCTTCACAGAAGGAGCGTGAAAAGAAAAAAGAGGAGAAGAAGAAAGAGAAGGATGTTGATAAAGGGGAGAGACTCAACAACACAAAGGTAATCTTCACAAGTAATCTGGCAAAGGTTAAAGTTGTAATCCTTGATTTAGCGTCACCTGTGGTTACCATTTGACGAATCAGCGCTGACCTCAGTGACAAATACATTGTGTTTCCTGTGAGTATTTCACAATAAAAGCCACCCCGTATTTTGCTAGTTGAACCCTTTTAATGTAGCTGCAGCGTAATGTAACTTAAAGTCTCCCGTCCAGTCAGAAATGTCTTCTTGTTCGTACAGTTTGATGTTTGAATGATGTCTGTGCAGAGTTTGACACTTGGAGGATGTCTTTACATTCATCTGCTGAAAGTGGAAAGGAACTCCTGACTAGTATTTCTTGAAAAGAGTGGGATCCCTGTTTAATGCAGTAGTCTAGACTCTACAATGAAAATACATTTTTGTTTCGATTTAAAAAAAGGAGTATGTTAGTTTCTACCCTCTTTGTCCACTGATCACAAACTAATGGGCAAATCTTGGCTTTCAGTAGCTGATGTTTTCGTCTCTAAGAGGCTTTGAATTCATCTTTCGCCATGAAATCTGGCTTTTAATGACAAGAAGAGAAGTAAAGGAGACTGCGGCCCACTCACATTGATCATGCCTTATGTGCGTTGCTGTTTCTTTGTCGTGAAGGCCAGAAAGAGGACAAAGAGAAAATGCTTTCTTTATGTGTGTGTCAGCGTGGTGTTATGAATGTGTGATGTGTGACAACAGGGAGGCCGGCAGTGTGTGCAGTCGCTCCACCTCTGCTGCACCAACCGAATCCTCCAGGGAAGCTCCTGATAAACATTCATGTTGTTCACAGATGCTTCAGTTCTGCCCCACGCATCGTATGGATCATTTCTCACCCACAGCAGTGTAAACATGTGAACCATGTTTCAAAAACTATGATATTATAATATATATATGTGTGTTGGATACTGTCACTTCAGCTGCTTCAAATACATTTCCAGCATGTCTGTAAATGATATATTACTCTCTGAACACTTCTTGTCTTTCAAAGAAATGTGGCATGTCACTCGAAAAGCGAAGCCCTTGCTGCTGGCAGATTTAGCTAAATTTAGCTTTATTTTTCAAAATGTAGATGGACTGTTCACGCTCACTGCGCCGGAGAAAGATGCCCCGACATCATGAAAGAAGACTTGCGTAACAAGTCGTTATTCAAAATAAAATCTGGGAATTGATGGAAAGATAAATGAAAGACAAAATGACTGCTATTTGCCAAGATAAGTGTTTTTTTAAGTAAGTGACTGATGCGTTTAGAACTCCATCTCGGTCAGACTGAGCCGACAGAGGTGAGTGGATGTGTGTGTGTGTGTGTGTGTGCGCCTTTAACTGAGCGTATGTGTACACATGCCAGGGCTTTGGTATGTGTTCATGCATATCTATACTGTGTGTGCTTGCATTTGTGAGGAGAG